AGATGAGTCCCTAAAAAGCAGACCCCGTAGATACATAACTGCTACACCGCATACCTCTTCCTCTGGTCCTATTTCTTTCTGTAAATGTTAAATGTTCTTAGGCTCTTAGAAGCCTTCGATTGATTGCAACAGCCTGGACCAGGGGCTCAGAATCACTGCCCCTCCTGTCACTTCCGCAGTTTCTCTGCTATTAATTTCAACCACAGCCATATACCTGGCTAAGAAATCCTTGCTTCTCAAAATATCTGTGCAACTCCTTTTGTTTTCCCCTTCATCAAGAGGATTGGTATTTCACCGTAAGACATCACCTCACACCTATTAGAATGGCTGTTAACAAAAATACAAGAGATCCTAAGTGCTGGCAAGGAAGAGGAGCAAAGGGAGCCCTGCACACTATCGGTGAAAATGGAAAACAGTACAGAAGCTCCTTAAGAAACTAAAAAGGGGGGGGGGGGCGCCTGGGTGGCTTAGTCAGTTAAGCGTCTGACTTTCGCTTAGGTCATGATCTCGCGGTTCGTGGGTTCGAGCCCCACGTCGGGCTCTGTGTTGACTGCCAGCTCAGAGCCTGAAGCCTGTTTCAGTCTGTGACTCCCTCTCTCTCTGACCCTCCCCTGCTCACGCTGTCTCTCTCTCTCTCCTAGAAATAAATAAAAATATTTAAAAAAAAGAAACTAAAAATGGAACTACTATAGGATCCAGCACGCCACCTGCGTGCGTGAAGAAAATGAAATCAATATCCCAAAGAGATCTCTGCACCCTGTATTCACGGGAGCATTATTCACAACAGCCAGGACATGGAAACAACCTAAGCGTCCACAACAGAGTAACAGATAAAGCAAGTGTTACACACTAAGTGAAAGAAGCCAATCACAAAAAGACGAGTAGCGTTCGGTCTCACTTACTCACGGAATCTAAAAAAAACCAAATTCACAGAAACAGAGCGTAGAATCATGGTTGCCAGGGGGTGAGGGGGAGAGAAATGGGGAGATGTTGGTCACAGGGCACAGGCTTCCACTTGTAAGATGAGTAAGATCTGGATACCCAAGGTACAGCATGCTGCCTGTAGTTAATACATGCTTGGAAGTTGCTAAGAGGGGCACCTAGGTAGCTCAGTCAATTAAGCTTCTGACTCTTGGTTTTGGCTCAGGTCATGATCTCATGGTTCGGGGGTTTGAGCCCCGCGTCAGGCTCTGCACCGAAAGCGCGAAGCCTGCTTGGGATTCTCTCTCTCTGTCCCTCTCCCACTCGTGCATGCACGCTCCCGCTCCCCCCTCCCCCCCGACTCAAAATAAATAAGCCAATAAAACCTTTTTTAAAAGGGTAGTTAAAAACAAGTTGCTGAGAACAGATCTTAAATGGTCTCACCACCAAAAAAAAAAAAAAAAAGATAATTATGTGAGGTGATGAATGTGTTAACTAACCCTATTGTGGTAATTGTTTCATAATAATACATATATCAAATCGTCACCTCATACACCTTAAACTTACACAATGTTATATGTCAATTACATCTCCGTAAGACTGGGCGGAGGAAGGAAATTCTTGATGATTCTTAAATCTCCAGCTCCAGGGCAAAGCTTATTCCCAGGTGTCATTAGGACACCTGGAATCGTGGCCGACCTTAAGGGTCAGCAGCTTTGACAAATCTCAGGACTTGTGGCACTCCCCTTGAGGGCAAGCGGGCACACTTACACTAATATCTGGTGCTTCGCCAATCAGAAGCTTCCAAAAACAAGCATTTCTGATCTCAAATGTGGACTTGGTTCAAGCGCTACCATTGCCGCTGAAGTTACTTGAACCACCCGCAGGGCAGGTACCAAGACTGCTTACAGGTGGGCACATATTTACTCTCGCCAAAGAGAAGGACACAGGCGTGGACAATGTCCGTATTTAGACGCCTCCAGCATGAGAGTTTCTATCCTTCAGCTCTTTTGCTTGGCATGGATCTAAGAAGAAAACCCAAGGATGCGATGCACAGGGAGATGGTTCTCACATCTTAGTGAGTTTAAGAATCACCTGGGTGGCTCAGTCGGTGAAGCGTCCGACTTCGGCTCAGGTCATGATCTCGCGGTTCGTGGGTTCGAGCCCCGCGTCGGGCTCTGTGCTGACAGCTCAGAGCCTGGAGCCTGTTTCAGATTCTGTGTCTCCCTCCCTCTCTGCCCCTCCCCTGCTCACACTGCCTCTCTCTCTCTCAAAAATAAATATTAAAAATAAAAAATAAAAGGAATCACTTGGGGAGGATGATAAAAACGTAGGTGCTGAGGCTACCAGGGGCTCTGAACTCAACAAGCAAAGCCCAGGAATCTAAACTAGAAATGTAAGCATGTAAGCAGTAGGGTGCGTGGGCCACAGACGGATGCTATAGAACAGACTGCCTGACCCCCACTCACACCGGAGAGGAACAAAGCACTTAAGACGAGCAGCTGGCAGGTGCTCCCCAGAAGGGGAGAGAGAGGCCCCCTGGTTTAATGTGGACTAACTTCCCCTAAGGCTCGCTTGACTCAGCTCCAAGCACACCTTCAAGCACCCCGTCACTTTGTCGTGTCTCACACGGGATTTAGCCAGAAGGAGCGGGCTGATGTTTACTCTCTCACACGGAAAAAAAACAACAACGGTGTGCCCCTGGGCTACATGTCCTCACAGGATGGTCTCTGAGAGCTGAGCTCGCATCTAAGAGGTTCTGACACTTTCACCAGAGGGACCCTCGTGGACAGGACCACAGAGGAACCAAAAGGGATCTTAACCAATTTCTCCCAATGGCTCCCGACCACACTTGCCCCACCAAAATAAATACTTCTTGCTTCTGAAGATTATATCGAGGATCAAACATACCTGCACTACTGGCCTATGAGTTCGCCGTCTTACAGATCATTCCATTGTGCTGGCCACTGTCAAAGGAAGTCCATGATTTTGATGCTCTGTGGGGGTGAAATCACAGGCTGTAAAGACACGGTCTCTTAAGGCGAGTTTTGCTCAATCGGGTCATTCAACCTGGAGAAGTAGCAGCTGAAGACAGATTTTGTAGCACCGTCGGCTCCCAGGGGAGTTATTGCTGCTTGTTAAATAAATGCAGGTTCGCTTTTGAGATGAAGATGCCTTGGAAAATACATTTGTCCTAGTTATGCCTGGACATTAGCCCATCACGACCACATGAAATGTCCTGGACGTGTGTCTTTAGAATCAGGAGGAAAATTATTTTTCTCTTCACTCCCTTACTTTATGTATATGCTGTTTAAATACAATCCTAACAGCAAATAGTATGTACTTTTAAACACCCTGGTATGTAACTCTGTCACTTAAATACACATTAATCCAGCTAGTATTAGGATTTTTTTTTTCCTGTCAAAGATTCTCATTCCAAAAGTGCCCTACAGAAATAAAGATGAGAGGGTGTTTTTTGTTGTTTGGGTTTTTTTGCTTTAAATATCTCTTTCTCCTGGGACCCATTCAAGGGTGATTGGCAGCTGATATTAGCTCCTGTCCCCCAGACCGAGAGGATTTGCTTTTCTCCCTTTCAGACCGAAGAGCACTTCCAGACCTATTCTGGCATTGGGAGTTCTTTCTACATCCTTGTCATGTAGAGGTTTTTATTTATTTGCTTATTTACTTTCCCTTCCACATTCCTAAGTGTATTGTCTGACTTAAACAGCCATCTCTGCTTTCAATATCTTTGAAGAAGGGACACAGCAAGAGAAGTGGTCAGTGAGGGCACCAACAGATAGTATTGTTTGAAAACTCCCTTTTTAAAACATCTGAGCAAGAATGCAAAGGCTACTAAGCTTAATTAACAGCAGTAATAGCTCCCATTTATCGAGTCCTTTCTCTATGTCAGGTCCCGTGCTGAGTACTTTACTTACTCCCCACACTGCAGATTGTTTCATTGTTACTTTATTCTTGAATGGGATCCTCCATTATAACCCCTGTTGATCTTGGGCTCATGGACAGGTAAATTGGACAATTGCATACAGAAAGCGTTCTCTTACACAAAATAGGCTCTCACCAAGTATCAGTTGAAGAATTCAATGAATGGATGGAGGGACTGAATTTAACTCTATTCCTAAGCAATAAATTCTCTTTCTGAATGCAGTCCCCAAACTTTGCCATCCATTTTTCTCAAGGAGCACCCCCTTTAACTGATACTTTGATTCCTGATCCACGTGCTAGCAAGTAGCTTTTACATCAAGGTTCTATCTTTCCAGATCCTCTTTTCGCCAGTAGAAATGACATAAACGAAGATCATCTCCTTAGTTTATTTTTTTTTTCTAGAGTCCTCAGCATGCTACATTAACCTGACAAAGCTTTATCGTGTGTTCATTTCACAATACATTTCATGCAGTCCACAGCTGTGATTTGGGTTTACATCGACATTATGCATGTTTCAATTCAGCCATGTGAAAAGAATTAATTCTTAATGGGGTTTGTCTCTGAAAACTGTCCAAGCTTAAATAAGCATGTGAGCAGTTCACTCTATTCTTAAGTGCAGTCTCTCTCAAAAATGCAAGAAGGATTTTTAGCATAAGAATATAAGGTCCCTGTTTCGAGTCCATTTGCAACCAAACCACTTCCTTTAGGTTTTACAGATCCTGAGGAACCTCCTCGTTTACAAAACTGCATTCAAGTATACTATTTAATCGGACATTCCGGGTTGAGTTTAGGGACAAGGCTGACCTTCAGCTTTACATCCCCAAATACATCTTCGGGTGGACCCGGCTTTCCCCAAGACTATTCTTAGCATCAGACTCTCTTTTACAATACACATTGAGCACTAAAGCCACAGAGTAGAGCTATTTGGCATTTTCCAATGAAGTGCAAGAAATTAAAATAAGTTATGTTTTTTTATTGCCAAGGTATAGAATCAAGCACAGTTACTTTGTGAAACAGAAGGAAAGGGAGTATACACGGGATATGACCTCTCCTGGGGTGGGGGTGGGGCATGGGAGGGAGGGAGGGGTCAGATGCACAGAAAACGTCACCTGGTCCCCACCGGGCAGGCAGGCCGTTTAAGAGGATGTGTTGAGTATTCTGGAGTCCGAGGAGTCGGACCGCTCGTCGTAGTCCTCCTCGGCGTAGACGGCCTGCTTGGCCACCATGGGGCAGGCGTCGTCGGGGATGGGGACGCGGGGGTCCTCGGGGGCGCGCGCGGGGAGCACGGGCGAGCTCCGGAAGACGCCGGCGGAGCTGGCGGGGAAGGGGCCCACGTACTGGGGCCTCAGCTGGTACTGCTGCTGCAGCGTCATCGTGTTCCACAGGGTGACGTCGCTGGGCAAAAAGGGGCTCGACTGGTTCCTGGCCAAGGTGTTCCTCAGCATCAGCGGGTACCGGGGCGGCTGGGGGAAGGGGTGCTGCAGGGGCACCGCCAGGGGGTTGGGGACAACGTTACTAGAGTCGGCCGAAAACCTCAGCGTGTCGGGGACCCTGAAGGCCGAGCCCACCGACCACTTGGAGGAGGAGATGGGGTAGGAGCTCAGGCTGTGTTCGAAGAGGTGGCCGCCGGGGGGCAGCACCAGCGCGTCGGGCTCGGCCGCAGTTCTGTCGGCGGCGCAGGCGGACGAGCGGCTGGACAGCAGCACCTCCACGGCGCCCACCAGGTCGCCGCCGCAGCCCTTCAGGATCAGCTCCAGCACCGTCGGCTTCTGGTTGGGGAATATTTTTTTTAACACTTCCAGGGGCGGCCTGTTGGCTTTCAGGCTGAAGGGCAAGGTCACGGTCCCCGAGGGGCCCTCGATCAGCAGGTGGTTCTGCTCCGCGTGGAACTTGGGGCTGTCGGGGCGGCTCTCGGCGTGGCCGCCGTTTTTCTGAACCGCGTAGCCCCCCTCGTCCACCGCTACGATCTCGGGGCTCTCCGGGGTGAAGCAGCCCTTACTCTTGGCCACGTCCGGGGAGCTCCTCTGGTCGGCGTCCTTGTCGCTGAAGGTCTCTGTGCTCTCAGCCGCGCCGCTGTCCCCCAGTCGCTCTTCGGTCAGATCTGAAAGGCAGAGAAGAGCTGGATTAATCCCTTCCGGGTGTGGACGGGGAGGAGCAGCCGTGCTCAGGAGAGCGCCCCGCGCAGGCTTTCTGGAAGGAAACCCAACTCGGTGGGGTGCTAACGGCTTAGAGCCTGCCTGTCTGCTCGCTTGCTTCCTTCCTTCCTAAAAAAGGCTTGAACTCATGACCTTGAGATCAAGAGTCACGTGCTCTGTGACCGAGCCAGCCAGACTCTCCTGTACAGAAATCCTTCTAAGGAAAATCCAAACCGCCTGATTGGCAAATGGAAAAAAGGAAAGAAAAAAAAAGACTAAATAAAAATCTAGAAATTGGAGCGATTTCTCAGCCTGATAATGTGCACAGAGGCCTGGCCTTAAACACAGAACAGAGATGGGATCCTACAACCACCAAAGGTGTAGCTGTCATACCAGTGACCACCCAAGTAGGGACCCTCTGTAGTTCTAGGCATAAAAACAGCACAGGGAAAGATAGGAAAATGAGCTCCGGTTTGTCTTCCGGCTACTTTCCTGCAAATGAGGCGGCTGGTGTCATCTAGGGGCATCATCGGCTGGCGCATGACCCCTCTGTCCCCAGGAGGGAGTTTTAATATGTTCAACCCATTTCCCATAGGCAGATTTTGTGTTCAGTGTGTCTTGTGAACTGGTTGTATATTTCATCAGGTCACCATGTAGAATAATCAGTCAATATAATTTCCAGAGTGAAAGAAAAGAGCCACGATACATTGAAACCATTATTAAAAAGCCATTAGAGGGAGTGACAGACATGCACTAGAGGCAAAGCAAGACCAGCTGTGAATTCTGGACGGTGGGGCAGGTTGCATGCCAGGAAGAAGGAAAGGGCTGGGGAGCTTTGTCAAACTGCGCAGGGGGCGTGACCCATCAATGAAACAACGCGCCCATAACTCCGGGACCGCGGAGTTACCTGCAAGAGGTAAAAATGTTTCACCAAACTGTTTGATTAGTAAGGTTTATGGAAAGGATTTCAAGACGCCTTCTTGAATTATATTAAAAGGGAAGAAAAAAGCTTCCCGTATAAAGGAGCGATTTGCTGTGAGCTTAAACCAGCTGCAATTTTAACGTTTTGACTTAAGACACTACCCCTCAAAGGGCTAGGATTCCAGTGCTACACAGGCAGAAAGGAATAGGTCAGACTTGTTTGCTTGCAGTGGGAAGTGCCCGCAGACCTCTATAATAAAAGAACATATTCTTTGTTAGCACGCTATATGCAAGTAGATTTTTATCCCTTCGAAAACATTTACTGGCCGTCTCTAATCCAAGCCAATGTAACTGACCTAAAGATGAAAATTATTAATGACCCAGTTGTCAGGTTGTAAACAATTGCTGTGCCTGTGTTTTCTACAGCCCCACTGTCATCTTCTCTGTGGGCACACCTGATTATATTCAGAAAGCCAGCTGGTGAAATTTCATCACGGCCCTGTCAAAAAATCTATCTCCTTCTAATCGTCGTTGTTTATTTTAAAAGCCTTAGACAAAGGGCCATTTATGAACATTCTTCCAATATGGGATTTACCTCGAGCATAATGGAAAAACAAAAGGTGTGTTCTTCACAGAGCAATCAGAACTATGCCGCCAAGCATCAATGAATACATTATCAAATATGCTTAAACTGTGTCAGGACAACTTTCAGTCCTGTGACTGATCTGATACAAATCCACTTATCCCAAATTTGCATTTTAAGTAAACCACTGCTTTTTCTAAGAATGTGAGGTTTGTATGTGGGGATCATCTGCAGCCCACGCTGGGAAGCCAGCTTTGCTCTGGAGGACAGCTCTGGGACTGGGAGAAGACGCATCTTTGCAAGAGGAATTTGACATATTCCCTCAGCAACATATTCCCCAGGGCGGAGGAACTACGTGTCATCTCCTGAGTTAACGTGATATTTGTTTTTGATCCAAAAGAGAAAAACAAGGACAAAAAAGCTTCTAGAGATTCGCCTGCCTCTTGGCAGTTACTCTTATTATTAAATTCTTGAAAATGAGCAGACAGGGACAATACGTTAGCTCAGCACTGGCCTGAACACACCATTGGACTTGGGGCCCTGCCCCATGGAGCTTAGGAAAACAAGTCAATTACACTCCCCAGTTAAGTATAAAATGATGTTTTAAATACTGTGTGTCTCTAAACAGGGTTTTTAATTTAGCTTTCCTTACCTATTATTATCAGTATCAAGTATTTGTATCCCTGTAATATGCAAGACACTGAGGGAAGTAGAGAAAAGGGAGTGAAAACTACCAGGAAGTATAAGACCTGTCCCTGACTGGAGGCACTTATTATCTAGTTGAGCGAATAAAATGCATGTGCAGGAAGAAAAGTAAACACAGCCAGACAGGACTTGCTCAGTATCAAATGTGATACACAGTGTACACACACATTCATAGTAGCATTATCTGCCGTGGCCAAAAGGTGGAAGGAGTCCAAATGTCCACGGATGGATGCATGGATAAAGAACATGTGGTGTATACATACGATGCAGTATTATTCAGCCTCAAAATGTAATTCTGACACATGCTACCAAGGGCATGAACCATGGAAATATGCTAAGTAAAGTAAGTCTGTCACAAAAGGACAAATATTCTCTGATTCCACTAATATGAGGTACCTGGAATAGACAAATTCATAGAGATAAAAAGTAGAATGAGGGCACCTGGGTGGCTCAGTCGGTTACGTGTCCATCTTTTGCTCAGGTCATGATCTCACGGCTCTCATGAGTTCAAGCCTCCTGTTGGGCTCTGTGCTGACAGCTCAGAGCCTGGAGCCTGTTTCAGGTTCTGTGTCTCCCTCTCTCTCTGCCCCTCCTCCCTCCCCCCCCTCTCAAAAATAAATAAACATTTTTTTAAAAATTTTTAAATAAAGTAGAATAATAGTTACCAGGGCCAGGGGGGAAGCAGGGAATGGGGCCATATTGTTTAATAGGTACAGGGTTTCAATTTCAAATGATGAGAAAGTTCTGGAAATGGACAGTACTGGTGGTTGCACAACACTGAATGCACTTAATGTCACTACGTTGTACCCCTAGAAAAGGTAGAGTTAAATCTCATATTATGTGTATTTTACCACAATAAAAAAAAAAGAGAGAGAGAAAGAAGTAGACGCATAGTATCAGGGCAGTATAGGAGATGGTGAGGGTTTTTTTTTTTTTTAATTTTTTAACATTTATTCACTTCTGACAGACAGAGAAAGACAGAGTACAAGCAGGAGAGGGGCAGAGAGATAGACACACACAGAATCTGAAGCAGCTCCAGGCTCTAAGCTGTCAGCACAGAGCCCGATGTGGGGCTCGAACCCATGAACCTCGAGATCATTACCTGAGCCGAAGTTGGATGCTTAACCAACTGAGCCATCCAGGTGCCCCAAATGGTGAGATTTTTTTTTAAAGCAAGAGAAACAACTGGAAATCAAAGGCGTATTAGTACAGCTAGAAAGCTCAAAACTCAGCAATTGATGAGCGAACCTAAAAATGCCTTCTTATTTAAAATTTTTGACTTTTTTTTTTTTCAGTTTTAGAGAGAGAGCACACACAAGCAGGGGAGAGGGGCAGAGGGAGGGAGAGAGAATCCCAAGCAGGCTCCAGGCTCAGCTCCAAGCCCAACATGCGGCTCGATCTCACAAACCTGTGATCATGACCTGAGCTGAAAGCAAGAGTTGGGCGCTCAACCGACTGAGCCCCCCAGACGCCCCAGGCTTCCTATTATAAATGATCCTTTTTCTCAGGACATCTTGCTCGCTCAGTCCACAGAGCATGTGACCCTCAATCTCTAGGTAGTGTGTTCAAGCCCCACGTGGAGGGTAGAATTTACTTAAAAAGATATAAAATAAAAATAGATCATCTTTTCCATCCTGGATGAGTTGCAAACGCTGAAAACATCTGTGGGAAGTGTTTTGAGGTCTATCACCAAATTCACTCTTCCACAGAACACAGAATTCCACAGAATTCACTCTTTCTTCAGGCTCCGGAAGAAAGTGAGTCAAGGAGCCGACGTTCAGCCACAGGAGAGCTAGCGAAGGATGTTCTGGTTCATCTGACCCTTCTGCCGTTATGACAACGTCGTATTTTTTTTACCCCAATGTACTAGATACTGGAGGACAGGACCATAAAGCTGACAATACAAAATTCCACTTTCTTACCTATTTTCCTGTTCTGCAGAAGAGGCCACCATGACATCTTACATGGGTGCCAGCTCGTTCGCCAACTGTGAACCCCCAGAGTGCAAAAGTCCCTTCCTTATTTTCCGGTGCCACCTGTCCCCCTGCTAGCCGGGAACAGCCCGCTCTTGCCCCCAGCTCCTTCGCAGCCAGTGGGGGGAGGATTGTGCTGATTCATCCACACTCTCTTCTCAGGTTTCTGGGCGGTCAGCCTCTGCAGCTCGGCGCCCAGTGGTCGCACACACACAAACTAACAAAATGTCACAGGAATCAAATCTAGAAATTCAGGGCATTCCAACTAATCGGGCTCAGCACTGGTCATAATCGTGTTCAGAGGGAAGACAGAAGCCATTGATGGAGGCAAGGTGTGGGACACACCTATGGCCTTCATGCACCTGTGTGCTGGGTGAGCAGAATTCCTATCGACAGCCAAGGCTGTTGGGGTTTCCAAACTGGAAAAGAGAAGGGGCACCTGGGGGGCTCAGTCGGTTGAGCGTCCGACTTCGGCTCAGGTCATGATCTCGTGGTTCGTGGGTTCGAGCCCCGCGTCGGGCTCTGTGCTGACAGCTCATAGCCTGGAGCCTGTTTCAGATTCTGTGTCTCCCTCTCTCTCTGACCCTCCCCTGCTCATGCTGTCTCTCTCTCTCTCAGAAATAAATAAAACAGTTGAAAAAACTGGACAAGGGAAGACTAGACTCTCACTTTGTGCCAAGAATCACCCTTTGACCCAGCAGCAGTTTCTCCAGGGCAGAATGGAGAGTCGCTGCAATCCTGCGGCTCTGTGGTGTCTAGTATTGGCTGTACTGCTGTCCCTAAC